TTACCCTTGAAACCAGGGAACAAATAAATACAGAACTTGCTAGCTAGGAGGAGGGGTACAAACTGCACCCCCAAAACCATGGATGGTTAATGGCCTACGTAGGAATCAGCTCGTGACAACCTTGGCCTCACTGTCAGAGCCTCTTCCCAATCGAATTCAGTCACCACTATTTTGAAAATCATAATTCATGTCCCTAAAACAGTTTGGTAGTTGGTTCTACTTGTCAGTATTAATTATTTTTCCTCTGTCTGTCCCGCTTGTTTGATTTTTCTTTGTATTGAATTATAATTTATACACAGCAGGATGTCTAGTCTCAAATGTACAGTTCAGTTTTGACATATGCATATATATTCTTATAACCCACATCCCTTTTCATTTTATTTTAAAAATCTTGGAATCCTCTTAAGTGATGAACATTTGGGTCCAAAGGCAGATTTCTGAAAAGGAATCCCCTATTCAGTCCACTGACTGTCCCCTCCCCCGACCCCCTGGAAAAAAATTCTCATCCAATCCTTTCCCGAGTTCCCCAATCACCACAGAGGCCTTAAAGCCATAAGAACATTTTGTAATCCCAGCTTTCTGAAACCTAACAGAGATTTTCGTCATGTGAAAACAAGGAAGAGATTAAGTACGGAATTTGATTCTGACAATGGCAGAAAGGAACCAGCTAGACAAGAAATGTCCTGGAGAAGTAATCCAAGCACCGCTGTCCAAATCCTCCCCACCTTTTTCACGACTCTGAACGTGACGTACGGTTCTGTTCAGGACAGAACACTTTTTAAAGGAGTTTGCTACAGGGACATGACAACATCAGACGGAGGTATTTTAAATGACAGATCCGTGTACATTTTAAGAATTTTGCCCTTAACCCTGCCTTACTCATCTGAATGGATGCTCTTAGAAATGAGACACAGGGGCTTCCTTCGTGGCGCAGTGGTTAAGAATCCGCCTGCCAATGCAGGGGACACGGGTTCGAGCCCTGGTCCAGGAAGATCCCACATGCCGCGGAGCAACTAAGCCCATGTGCCACCAACTACTGAAGCCCGTGCGCCTAGAGCCTGTGATCCGCAACAAGAGAAGCCACCGCAATGAGAAGCCCGCGCACCGCAACGAAGAGTAGCCCCCGCTCGCCGCAACTAGAGAAAGCCCGCGGGCAGCAATGAAGACCCAACGCAGCCAAAAATAAATAATAAATAAATAAATTTATAAAAAGAAAGAAAGAAAGAAATGAGACGCAAAGATGGCTAAACACACTGTTCTCTCTAGACTAATGTCGTGGTCCCAGACCCATCTTCTCTATTTCACTGCCCTTGTGTCTTTCCAGCACTCCAAAACAGCTCTTCTTTTGCATAACTTTCACCGAGGGTTTTGCAGTCAAATAATATAAGAACATGTAATTATTTAATAATTATAATTTGTATAACATTTAAAGGCAAGTGAGAGGCTTTATGTGAAAGTGCTTTTAAAGCTATAAAAATATGTATAATCCAAAAGGATTATTTAAAAAATTATTTCTATGTAGCAGGATACTTTGCAGTAACTATACTCCCATTATAGCAATAATCAGAGAGGCAAGCCATTCTCATTTTCCACATGCAGAACTTCCCATGTCTTAACGGTGACATTTCTGAAATATTTCCTGAATACCCAGCCTCTACATTTAGGCCTTATTACCTCCCCATCAGGCTTACAATCCATAAAGAAAAGCATGATGTTCCTTTATTTACTGCTCTGTTCCCAATGCCTAGCACGTGGTGGGCATGCAAGCATTTTGTTACATAAATGAACCTAATTTCCTGGTTGGTCCTGCCTTCAGTGTCCTTTTAGTTTACTCCACGATACATCAGCATGACCTTCAAAAACACAGTTCTGCTTCTGTCCTATATACACTCAAAACCTTAGAGGACTCTGTTGTCTGTACAATAAAGGACAGACTCCTGAATATCACATTCCAGAGCCTTCATGGTCTGATTCCAACTACCTTTCCAGGCCTGTCTTCCAGCCCTTATCCCCTCGCCCCGCCAAACCACTAGATAGTTTCCAAACACCCTCTGCAGGTTCACACTCCCAAGCCTTCACCGAAGCTGTCCCCCCCGCCTGGAATGACCTTCCTTATTCACCTGGTGGAATTTCACTTCTTCAAAACGCAGCTCAAATGTCACCCTCTCCGATGCTTCTCCAACTCCCCTAAGGATTCCACTTTGGTGCTCCCATATAAGCCTGCTTGTCCTTCCCTTATTGCATGCTACCCATTATATTATAGCGGGGTTTATCCTCTCTTTTGTGTTTTTGCAAATTCCCGGAGAGCAGGAACTGAATCGTCCTGTGATTCTGTACACATCTCCTGAATCTGACCACTCCTTCCCGCCTCCCCCACTATCAAGCTGGTCCAAACCACCACCCTCTCTCGCCTGTGCCACACGACAGCACCCGACCGTCTCCTCCTTGCTACACTGCCATCCAGCAATGGACTTGCTGCAAAGCTGCCAATGCTCCTCAAACAATGTAAACAACCAGATGCCTCGCCTCTACTACAGACCTGCTAGTGGCTTCCCTTGACACTTAAAAACAAAACAAATTGGACTTCCAGACGACTTCCCTGGTGGTCCAGTGGTTAAGACTCCGTGCTTCCAATGCAGGGGGGACGGGTTCGATGCCTGGTCGGGGAAGTTCCGCATATGCCGCATGACCAAAAAACAAACAAACAACAACAACAAAACCCCAAAGCCCTGGACTCTCTGGCCTCTGCCTTCCTCTCCAGTTTCGTCTCTATCACTGTCCTCCTTGCTCATGCCAGCCCCACTGGTCTCTGCTTCTCTGTGACTGTGCTCATCCCCTCCTCGGGACTTTTGAACTGTCTCCCCTCTGCCCGAGAAGTGCTTCCCCTGAATATATGCCTGCCTTGCTCCCTTCCTTCATTATGACCTCTGCTCAAACATCCCCTCCTTAGAAAGGCCCTCCCTAATCACCAGCTAAGATAGCACCCTCCATTAAGCCCTCCTCTCCTACCTGCTTTTAATCTCTTCATGGCACTAAACCACCAGCTGGTCACTATTAATTATCTGTGCATCTCTAGTTGTTCATTTGTTGCTAGGGATACAGACTTTGTTTTGTTCACCACCATGTCCCTGGTACCTAACGCAGTGCCTGGCAAACAACAGGCACTCAAGTGTTTGTGGAATGAATGGATGAATCTGTGTATCCCAGGTGCCTAACACAGTGCCTGGTTCTAGATGGATTTGTTAAGTAAATGACCAAATTAACGAATTTTACAAATGAAATGGCATCTTGGCCTATATCCACGATAATCCAGGATCTGGAGGCAAGTGTTTCATCCATTTGCTCCACGAACATAATCTTGATTTGTTTTATTTACTCTAAGATCATAGGTGATGTAACCAATTTCTTCACTTTTTCAGAAACTAGACTCTGACTGAGGTCTTGCCCAAGAATATTTAGGGAATTTCAGAAAGCTCACCAAGAGGGGCACAGCGGGGATTTAGAATACCCTTCAGCCCACTGCTTTCAAAAGCTCCTGGGGGGGGAAAAAAAAAAAAGCTCCTGGGGGATTCGGATAAGGTACTTTATCTCCTGTGATTTATCCAGAATGTACATTTGTTGTTAATCCTGCCCAACACTGATTATTTTCAGGGCTGGAACAGGTAAAACACTGATTGACCTCAGACTCCTAGAGAATGGACATGGCAATGAGGCGTGAGGGTTACTGCACCCCAGCTGGCCTCAGTATTTGTGCTTTAGGAACCTGGAAGTTCCTAAACTCCCAGGCTTTGATGTGGCAATTCAGCCCCTGAGAGTAGGTGAGCTGGGGAACAGCTGCTGGAGAACAAGAGGAACTTCCCTTGTTCACTTTGGCCTCTGGGCAGTTGTTTTTCCCACCCATCCTGTTTTTCTTAGGGCTTCCCTGGTGGCGCCAGACTTGCCCTATTCTCCTGCATGGATGGCATCAGGGCCAGAGACCAGAACAGGGAGAGCCTGGGAGGTTCACACCCCGCTCCTTCAAATCTCCAGTATCCGATTACTAAACAAGAGTAGGGGATGGGGCCTCATAGGCGCAGAGGGAAGGGAACTAGCTTAACTGCACGTGTGGCCCTGTTGCAAACACTAGACTATTATGTGATGGTGTCATCAGATGTCACCGAGAAGTTAGTTATGATTATTATCTGCATTTTACAGAAGAGGAAAACAAGGTTCAGAGAGGCTGATGACACTTGCCCAAGTTACCCAGATGGTAAGTGGCAGAGCAGGGGTTTGAGATTCAAACCAGGCCTGTGTGACTTCCTGGCTGCCTACCAAGAGCAGGAATTTCTTTAACATCTAGAAGGGCAAGAGGGTGAGAGGGGGGACAAGAGCTGGAGGGGCAGCAAATGGGTCCTACCTGAGACTTGAGCATCATCAGACCCTGCAAAGCCCAGGTTAAGCAGATACCACCTGGCTTCTGTTCTGAGAACTGAACATCCTGTGGCTGCTTCACCAGGGTCATCCTGGTCCCACTCTAGGGTACTGGGAGTGGGTGAAGCCCCCATAGAGTGGAGCCTTTCCTTCCAGCAGTGTCCTTCCACGCCGTTCTGGCTCTGGGCTTTGTAGTGGTGGTGTCATGCATAGCGTGCTTTCATCCTCCTTGGGTCTTGAGTTTACTTCCTTCACCTCTCTCGTCATCGGTTCCAAAGTTGTACCCCGTGGACACTGAACCCCGCCAGCATTTCTGGACGTTCCGGCGGTTCTGGGTCATTTGGAAACGTCCGGGCATGTTAAAGGGGACTGCCGGCGCCACCAAGGTCTGGGCATCTTCGGGGCCCTTCGCCAAGCCCCTTCCCTCGCGCTCCCGGCGCTCCCGGCTACGCGCCGCAGCGCCCCCTCAGCCGCCAGGGGCCGCCGGGAAGCGGGGCTCCTCGAGCGCGGGGCGGGGCAAGGGGCGGGGCGCGGCGGTACCTGGGCCGCCGGGGAGCCGGGGGTGGGCTCTTCTGGGACAGCCGGCGGCCCCCCCAGATTCGCACCGCCAGCCGCCGGGGAGCTCGGGGCTCCAGGCGTAGAGGCTGCGCTGTCACATGGGCGGCGGCGACGGGGCCGCATTTAAGCGGCCGGGGGACGGCGCCCGCCTCCAGCGCGTCCTCGGGCTCGGCTCCCGCCGGGCGCCCCGCTCTCTGCCCGCCGGGGGCCCAGCGCCGCGCCGCACCGCGCCGCCCCCGCCGGGCCATGCGAGCGCGGGCCCCGCCGCGATGAGCTCGCACATCGCTAAAAGCGAGTCCAAGACGTCGCTGCTGAAGGCGGCGGCGGCGAGCGGGGGCAGCCGGGCTCCCCGCCACGGCCCTGCCCGGGAGCCAGTGCTGTCCAGCCGCCGGCTGCCCGGCCCCTGCCCGGGCACGCCGCCGCCGTCCGGGGACCCCAGTTCGCGGAGGCCCCTGTGCCGGCCGGCGCCGCGAGAGGAGGGCGCGAGGGGGAGCCGGCGCGGGCTCCCCCAGGCGCACTGCAGGCCCCGGGAGGCGCCGCCGGCCGCGGCGTCCCGACCTTCGCCGCCGTCGCCGCTGCCGCCGGCCCGCGGGCGGGATGGGGAGGAACGGGGGCTGTCCCCGGCGCTCGGCCTCCGGGGCTCTCTGCGAGCCCCGGGTCGCGGGGACTCAGCTCCAGCCGCCGCGTCCGAGGCAGACCCGTTCCTCCACCAGCTGCGCCCCATGCTCAGCTCCGCCTTCGGCCAGGTAAGGGCCGCGCCTCCCGCCCGCTCCCTGGAGAGGCGCTCGGGACCCTGCCGCGGCTGCGCGCCCACAGCCCTCCTCCCGCTGCCCGCGGGTCCCCGGGTCACGATCCTCTGGTCCTCCCGCTGCCCGGCGCCCTAGCCCGCGCGCCTCCTCCCCCGTGCCTGATTCAGCACCCCGTGCGCTGTCCACGCTCCGGGCGTCTTCAGGACGAGCCCCCCC